ATTATTTAATGTCATCATGGCAAAGATAAAATAAATCAGTAATTAGAAATAGGTTTTTAAAACTATTATGCTTAGAAATGTGCTGAAACAATCTTCCCTCCATTAAACAGAAATTGGGGAAAAAATAAACAGGGGAGCTAATAATTCTGACATCAACTGTATGAATATATATATATATATACAGGGCTCGAAATTAACTTTTTTACTTGGTAGCACCGGTGCTCCCAACTTCAAATATTCAGGGGCACCAAAATAAATTTAGGAGCACCAGAAAAAATTTAGGAGCACCCACCAAAAATGAATGAGCACCGCTGCAAATTGCTTTTTAAGGGATTTATTGTATTTTAAAACAACATCAATAGGACTGACAAAAACCAGAAACAACTATCTAACTAATGCTGCGAAGACATTGATATTTGTGTGCAATAATTCTAAAATGAATGTCTAATAATTAGGCCATAGAATATTAGTGATGATGAAAATGACAATAATAGTAACAATGAATTCCATTTCTCATTATGATACTGCCTTGAATGTGCATGAATGTAGGTTATCTGCTATAAAATGTCTGTTACTTTATATAAAATAATTGTATAGTTTGCATCAAACAAAAATGAAGCATTGCAGTAAGAAATATTGATTTTGTACTGCTGTTTTTATCTGCATGTCAATTTAATAAATAATATTTCTGCTACAAAACAAACAAAAGATTATAATAAATAATTCAATTCAATGATGAAAGCTGCAAAGCAGTCATCAGTAAATAAATAAAAAAATAATATACACCTCAAAAAAGAATAGACAAAAGAAAGAAAGTAAAGTCTCACTTCTATCACTCTTTAAAAGTTTTGGTTTCAGTTTGTGTCAATTTAAAGGTTCAGTCTGAGATGATCTTCATTTTTCTGTGTTTGTGGAAAAGCTGGCGAGTCAGCCGACCCAATTTATGAGCAGGCAGAGCAGGATTCTTGCACTAACCATCGGCGCAATACTGGTCTTTGTTATGAGCCGCAGTTTCAGTGATCTCAGCTGGCGGATCATTATTCACCACGTGACGTGTCACGATCTCTCTCATCTACACCTCAATTTTAGGTGGGGTTTGCAAACCTGTGTGCTTTAAGTTTTTACTCTTCAGCCGTTTGCATTTCCCGTGGTCATAAAAGCTCCTTCCCTGTCATCTGACAGCGGAATACCTTGAGTGATTGACAGCTAATATGAACCAATATAGCGGCAGGGAAGAGCGATTCAGCACGTTTTTACAAAAAATCAAAACAGGTCGCACTACAACCATTATCAGCAGTTGCACTAATGCGCCCAAATATGTTATGAGGTCGCATAGATTAATTTTCAGGCGCATATGCGACCAAAATGGTCGCAATTTCAGCTTCAAATGTTGTAACAAGCACGTCTGAAATGAGCCCGAATTTCTGTAGATTCAAAACAGTCAGTCCGGATATCCCCGCCTCTTAAAGGGCCATTACTAAATTACAAAGGGCTCAAAAATAGTCTTCTGGCGCCATCTCGTGGACACTCTGACACGCTTTGAGTCTGAATTTTACAAATTTAATATAAAAAAAATATTTATAGGAAAACTGTTATTTATAATTACACCAAATAAATATGATAATTATCTGTAATTTCAAACACATCTTTTGGCCAAATTTGAGGATTGTATACTTTTTTATATGCCCCAAATACTCGATACAATTTTTTAATTAAAAAATTTTTAATTCAAAAACTACAAATCTTATCAGGATGAGGACATACAGCAACCATCTCATGAGCAGTAGGCAGCTTTTGACCAAATTTGGGGCTTGTAGCATCTAAGCCCTGGGAGGAGAAGCGATTGCTTTTTTTTGGTCAGAAGCCGGAATAATAATAATAATAATAAGAATAAGTTTAAGTAGCATTACAGTATGTTGGCTTTCTCAAGCCAACATAATAAGTTTACGTGAGATAACAGTATGTTGGCTTTTCAAGCCACCATAATAAAAAGCCTAAAAGGGGGAGCTACAAAGAGTTTTGAAACATTATCTGTGTGGTATTTTGAGCTGAAACTTAACATTCACACTCTTGGAACAGACTCATTTTATGTCTTGTAAAAAGGGGACATAATAGGTTCTCTCATATGTGCGACTGGAATGCATTAAAAAATCTGAAAGGGTTTGTAAAAAAAGCTCTAAATTACCCATTTATTTTAAATTGGGAAGAAATGTCATCAGTAGTGGCAGAATAAAGACAATGTTTTGGGTAAACGTGTCTGAAAACATGGTATCTTTTTGTGTTTTTTTTCAGCAAATTTATTATAAATTTAAGCAAACTATTTGTATTTATATGTATATATATTTATACAACAGTTCTGTCTGGTTCTGGAATCTGATTGGCTAATAGCCTTACATTATTCTGCAACAACAGCACTCATAAAGCCTCCACACCCTTCTGTATTACTCCGCTCTGTATTACTAGAATGAAGGCCGATCAATAAACTCACTAGTTTGACAAATATTGCAGCTGTTGGACAACATAATGTATTTTTGAGGCTTTTTAGGCGAGAATGTAGTTGTTTAGATTGCAAATATGCAGTTTATTTATCAGGATAATGGCTTTATATATATATATATATATATATATATATATATATATATATATATATATATATATATGGCGACAAGATGGCGACAAAGACTGAATAATAAGCCATTAGAAGAGAAAAACCCAGTGTAACTTCAAACTACAGCTGATCAAAACATTATAAAACAGCTAAGTGACTTTCTAAGTTAATCTACATGTATCTGTTTTGTATGTTGTAGTGCTTTTTTATACCATAGTCTGGTAGTTTTTCTGGTAGTGTTTGCTTTGCTTTGGCTTTTTCGGGGTTAATTATTGTGATAACCCGATTGCAACGGGAAATCTATTCGGAAATCTCTGTAGACTGATAACATTTCATGCCGTTCAGCCTTATAATCTTAAAATGTCTGCAAAATTACCTGTTTTGTCATCACTTTAGACATTTTCTTGTCCGCTTAGTCCCTTTATTAATGCGGGGTTGCCACAGCGGAATGAACCACCAACTTATCCATGCCCTTTCAGCCGCAACCCATCACTAGGAAACATCCACATACACACACACACACACACACACACACACACACACACACTATGGATAATTTAGTCTACCCAATTCACCTGTACCGCATGTCTTTGGACTGTGGGGGAAACCAGAGCACTCGGAGGAAACCCACGCGAAGGCAGGGAGAACATGCAAACTCCTCACAGAAACGCCAACTGAGTTGAGGTTCGACCCAGCGACCTTCTTGCTGTGAGGCGACAGCACTACCTACTGCGCCACTGCCTCGCTATATATATATATATATATATATATTTTTTTTTAATCTAGATTAATGTAGATTAATTCAGAGACTAATTTAGATTAATCTTGATTAAAAAAAATAATCTATGCATTCCTGTAATATGCACATAAACATAAATCATAGTTTAAAAAATGTGTGTGTGTCCTGCATTCCACCTCTAGTAATTATGCAAGTCATCATCAGGAGCCATAGGCATTCATTTTTTGTATCGTTTTTTTTTCTTGCACTTTATGAACCACTAAGGATCATTGCTTCTGCTAAAACTTTTTATTGCATTAGCTTACCAAATACAAAAACGTCTTCATCTTCCAAACTGGCAATCCCTTCCTCCAGAGCTTTGTCATTTTATGCTTCATTGCAGAAACCAACTGACATTTAATCACAACACACTTCTCTCCCCCTGTCTACATTCACCCTATAGACAGATAATTTCGGCTGCTTCAATTAAAACTCCAAGGACAACAATCATCTCACATGACCGCGCGGACTGTGGATGTGTCAGCTCCGAGCGAGCGGCCAATGAGAGCGCGCCTCGCGGGTGACGTCATGGGGGCTGGTCGCGCGCGTGGAGCTCCAGTCAGTCCCGCGAGCGCAGTCAGTCACGCCCTATTCACACGGGGCGTCAGCGTCAACGCTTCCCATTCACTTTGAATGGGTGACGTCAGGCGTTGCCGAACTGCATTGTGGATCCGTCGGCGCCGCTTCAGAAGCGTTCCTCGCTGCAGAAGTTGGGACCAGCTCAACTTTTCAAGCGCCGACGGAAGCGTCAGCCAATCAGATCGCTGTATGCAAATACACCAGCTCAGACAGTGGCCTATTGCTGACTGAATTTCATTGGCTGACGCTTCTATGACGATCGTTTCAGCTCCAACTTCAGACACGCCCTCTGTCAAGCGTTGACGCTGAAGCCCCGTGTGAATAGGGCGTTAGTCAGCGGCTCGTGTGTGTGTGGCTGACCCGCGCTCAATGGACTAGATTTCCAGCCACGTAAGTAAGATGATGATGGTGTCCTGTTGCTGAAACAAGGGATAGGCCCAGGGGGAGAACGTCGGCCGTCCCTTCTCGCCTTTGTCTCCGAATTATATCCATCCGTCGGAGTTTTGCGTGCTCGCGCGGAGAGAGGACATCGACTTCCCAGGCGTAACAAAAGGCGGCTCGCGACCTGGAGGAAAAAAAAATATCTCCCTGGCTATATTTAGGTAGATACACGGACATGATTCGCTCGGAAGCCCGCATGAATGAACCCGGAGCGCCCTCTCAGGATATCCGAACCCGGCTGGCACTTTAAATTTCATGCACAAAAAGGGAAGGAAATAATTGTTAATTTGTACCTGCTGCGCTGCATCGATTGTGACGTCACACTCTTTACATTCACAATCGCGACGTATTACATGCATTTTCGCGTGTGTTAACCAAACCGTGCTTCTTTTTTTTTCTTTGAGGGCACCGTGAAGCATAGAGGTCACAATTCATGCATGCACGTCATCGCATGTGTGCTCAAATGACGCCACATTGGCATTGCAATCAGCATTATTAAAGTCGAGGGGAATCGCCGCTTGCATTCATGCCCAGTGTTAAATAGAGGGCATCTGTTTGTTTGTTTGTTTTTGGCATTCGCTTCTACCTCCCCATTGAATCCGTCTGAATCACCCTCCTGATCCGGACGAACCTCCTCCTATACTCATGAACATACAGAGATCCAGTCCCATTAACATTTCGCGTTATGGGAGATCGAGGCACAAAGCGCACGACTTTGAGGAGCTCTCTTGCCTAAGGACTACAGAATCCAGCCAGAGTTTCAGTCCCAATTTAGGATCTCCCAGCCCCCCCGAGACCCCGGACTCCTCGCACTGCATTTCTTGCATTGGAAATTACCTTTTGTTGGAGCCCATCGAGGGAGACCACGTTTTCAGAGCCACCCACCTGCACAGTGGGGAAGAGCTCGTGTGCAAGGTAAGGAACTCGCTTCTCTATGCGTGATATTTTTGGATGGGAACACTCATGCATGCAATTGCATCAGCTATTGATAGGGATCAAAGCATGACATGCATCTGGCTCATTGCATGCATGCATTAGCAGAATGAATGGCTTTTCTTTTGTGATTCATCAAAGATGACATGGAGTGATGAGTTATAGTCACGTGCAAAAAAAAAAAAAAAAAAAGCATGAGGGAATACCCTTTAAGTGTGTGTGTGTGTGTGTGTGCATACAACCATGCATTCATGCGTGCAAGTCTGCATGACTTCAAAACCCAAGACACTCTGAATAGGCATTAGTGAAAACCTCTTATCTTCAGATGAAAGGGAATGGCCTGCCATGTCCATCCCTTCTGTTATATTTAGCCCATCTCTCTGTTTTAGGTGTCTGTTACTAAGCAACATCAAAATTCAGTGTATGTTTTGGGGACTTGAAAATGCAGCAGAGGTGCTCGACTCTGTGCCGCATGGATTTCCATTCTTTTGTTTCACAATTAAGCATCGGCTCTAAAGATGCCACTTCTCTTTTGTGGGCTGATACCTTTGCGCTCCCACCTGAGATGTTGGGTAATCGATGACTGCTTCTAATTGAATTTAAAATGCCCCTCTCTCTCTCTCTTTCTACCCTCCAGGTGTTTGATATCAGTCGATATCAGGAGTCACTGGCTGCTTACTTCGTGCTGGGTACCCATGAGAACATTAACCAGATAGTGGAGATCCTTCTGGGGGATACGCGAGCGTACGTGTTCTTCGAGAGGAGCCATGGCGATATGCACTCTTTCGTTCGCACTTGCAAGAAGCTGCGAGAGGAAGAGGCTGCCAGACTTTTCCATCAGATAGCATCAGCTGTGGCGCACTGCCACGACAACGGCCTGGTCCTCCGAGACCTCAAGCTGAGGAAGTTCGTCTTCAAGAATGAGGACAGGTAATACAGATGTCTGCTTGCAAACCGAACATGCATATTCTGACTAGACTGTTAAAAAAATGCTGAGTTCCTTAAGGAATTAAGTTAACTTATTAGTTTTTACCAATTTAAGCGGATTGAACTTAAAACAATTAAGTTGTCGCAAAAAAAACTGAAGAATTGTGTTGTCTCAGTTTCAAATGAGTAGTTTGAACAAACAGTATGCGTGTAGGGATGGGTACTGAAATTCGGTACTTTATCAGTATCAGTGCTACATTATAAAAGACCGAAGTATCGTTAAGCTCTGAAGTTAACACGTGCTATCGGTACTGGAGAATTATTGCTGAGTAAACATTACTTACAGTAGCATAATTTAACTGACCAACCTTTTCTAATTTGGGATATGTGATACTCGTCTGCACAGTTCCCACATGAGAAATGCTTGTGTTTCCGGCGAGCACGTCAAGTATAAAAACCTTCACAGTTCTTGGCTGTGCGCACACACTCAGCGGAGGCTCATGCTAAGCGGACACACAGCTCATAAGCTTGCGGAGTGAACCAAACTGGTTGTATTGCCCGAGTGAACAGTGACAATGTCAGTTGCAACAAGTTGTTTTCTTGTATAAGTGGAAACGCAAAGAATCTGGCTAAGTGAAAGCATCTTTCGAAAGTCCATTAACTGCAGAAGGACAAATGAAAAGTTTTTGACTGCCTAACTACTAACTGTAATGTTACATCATCCACATCATTACGCCAGCAGTCAATCACCCAAATTAGTATTATATAAATAGTTGCATAAACATAAACATTCGGTTACAATGAAAACAGTATTTTTTTCTGCAGTAGCATAAATAAATTTTAAACGATATAATTGCTTTTTCATCAGCTGTATTTACTAATATAGCTTATGAATAGCCTAATAATAAACTATATGCTTATGAAATTATAAAAAACTGCTTATTTTTACATTGCAAGATGTTCCAAAACTGTATTTATGTGTATTTATGTGGATGTGTTAATAAAACATCATAAACATTTTCTCATTTAACTGTATTTTGCAACTAAAATAGGGTATTTTTAACAGCAGGGAGCCCAATAAAGCAAGAAAGATCCCGAAAAGGCAAACATGTTGATTTTTCACCAGAAGAATGGTTTAAAAAACGAAATAATTTTCCTTACAGGAAATTTTTTATTTATTAGATTTTCAATTATTGATTTAGTTTTATTTTTTCATTAAAATGTAATAATAAAACAAAGTGTTGTTAATTCTGTTTAATTAGTTTTGTTTTTTCTTTAAAAAAACCTACAAAAAGTACCCATAAGAGAACCGTTAAAGTACCGAACCGATAAGTGGTATCAATAAAAGTAGTAATACTGGTAAAACCTTAACAATAACCATTCCTATGTATGTAGATATGCAGTCTATGTAGATATTTGGTGGTTTACACACTGGTTGTTGTGTGGTAAGTATCAAGGTATTTTAAGCTGACTTGACGAATTGTTTTTATGTTTAGTGCTGACATATGTTTGGTTGCGACTAACAATGAAGAGGTTGCTTTCTTTTTTCATATGGGCTCATTTAAATGCAAGTGAAAAGTCTTGTTCCTCTATTCTCTTTTAATAGTTATTGGCAACCTGTAGAGATATTTTGGTACCTTTAGGGTATATTGCACAACAGTTTTCATGCAAACAGTCATACTGTTGTAAGCATTTAGACTGTTCATTTGCATGACAAACATTTTAATCTATAAAATGCATGTTATACTGTTATCCTGTGCAAACATAAAAAACGTGATGTTGATCTGATTTTGTTTTCGACAACCATAACAAGTATAAGTAGATTTCAGGGGGTTTTCGTACCTCTGTTAAATGATCTAAGACAGGGGTGTCCAAACCTGGAGGGCCGGTGTCCTGCAGAGTTTAGCTCCAACTTCAACACACCTGCCAGGAAGTTTCTAGTATATCTAGTAAGATCTTGATTTGCTGGTTCACGTGTGTTGATTAGGGTTGAAGCTAAACTCTCCAGGACTGAGTTTGGACACCCATTATCTAAGATGATTTGGCCGATCCTGGATTTTTTGATCTTGATCATTTATCTCTGGCTAATTTAGTTCTTTAAACAAGTTTGTGAATCAGATTAAAATGTCTGGATGAACTGATCTGAGATCATTGCGTGTGTTGTGAAGGACAGATCTATCGATCCTCGAAATCATGATCAGCAATGCAAGGATTGGCTGACGGCACAGCAGTGTAATGACATCATCTGAATAATATTCAATTATCCATGTGAGCAAAATTAAATAATTTGTAGTAAACGGTTTGTTAAATATGATACGCTCTAATGTTTCACCTTTGCTGTGGGCTACAGGCTGTACACTTTTATGTCAAGGGTGTTTAGCAATTTTAGTTGTACATTTAGAGCAAATTTTTTTTATTGAAGGGAATAACTGACTGTTTAAATTAATTTTGCATTAAAAAAGCGTTTTGATATTGGCAAAGTTGTCTGCAACTTCTGTGAAGCATCAAATCACCGTCATATTAGATGTCAAAGCTTGTATAACGGCATAAATTATTATTACTTAAAAAAAAAAAAAAAAACAGTCAATTGTGCATGTCTATTGTCATACACAAATTGTTCTAAAGCTGGTACCTTTAAAAAATAGTATGCGTTTAGATCTAAAAAGTCCATATGTTGTCACTGAACTTCTTAAGGAGAACCACCTTGACAGTATTTTTACTTTTATTTTAGAGTGTACATTGCACTTTTTAAACTTTATACTTTATACTAANAAAAAAAAAGTGTATATATATATATATATATATATATATATATATATATATATATATATATAT